TTTTTTTTTTTTTTTTCAGCAGCACTTTTATTCTTCCTTACACAATGATGTGTTGCTGGGGCCTAATGTTCTCACATAACAGTAGAAAACCAAAATTTGTTGTCATCTATTTAAAGAATTGAGAGTTGCGTACAAAAAACTACCTTACATAAATTAAAAGGATGAATACATTTACAGGTGTAAATGCAAACCGCTTCCAACTCAAGGCAAGTAACAGCCCACGGTGTTCTGGCAGAAAAGCAGCTAAGAAAGGAAACCGGGTCCTATGGCTTGGACTTTCCAACGCTGACAGACAGGCAATTGCCAGCTTCTAGAGCAATCCCAGAACACTCGGCCCTGACACATGAATACCCTGCAAAGATAGGAGACTGCTGGCCACGCAGATGCACCAAGCCAGACTTGTCTGCCCACAAGCACGTTTTTACCTCAGCCACGAAGTGACCAAGCCACATGTACTAAAGGTTGAAATCAAAGATATGTACAGGGTATTAAACAAATAACAAGGAGAACAGTTAAACCGACTACCTCATGAAGATCCTCACCGAGTGCAGCTACAGCTTCACCACCGCGGCCAAGCAGGAGATCGTACGCAACATCAAGGATAAGCTGTGCTACGTCGCCCTGGACTTCGAGCAGGAGATGGCCACAACCACATCCTCCTCCTCTCTGGAGAAGAGCTATGAGCTGCCCGACAGCCAGGTCATCACCATTGGTAACGAGTGGTTCCGGTGTCCGGAGGCACTGTTCCAGCCTTCCTTTCTCGGCATGGAATCTTGTGGCATCCATGAGACCACCTTCAACTCCATCATGAAGTGTGACGTGGACATCTGTAAGGACCTGTACACCAACACTGTGCTGTCTGGTGGCAGCACCATGTACCCAGGCATCACTGACAGGATGCAGAAGGAGATCACTGCCCTGGCACCCAGCAGCATGAAGATCAAGATCATTGTACCCCCAGAGCATAAGTACTTCGTGTGGATTGACGGCTCCATCCTTGCCTCACTGTCCACCTTCCAGCAGATGTGGATTAGCAAGCAGGAGTACAATGAGTCCGGCCCCTCCATCGTCCACCGCAAATGCATCTAAACGGACTGCGAGCAGATGCGTAGCATTTGCTGCATGGGTTAATTTGGAAGTATAAATTTGCCCCTGGCAAATGCATACACCTCATGCTAGCCTCATGAAACTGGAATGAGCCTTCGAAAAGAAATTGTCCTTGAAGCTTGTTTCTGATATCAGCACTGGATTGTAGAACTTGTTGCTGATTTTGACCTTGTATTCAAGTTAACTGGCTTCCTTCTTGAGTCCCTTTTTCAGTCAGCTGAATGGGTGACTCTGCCTTCCCGGAGCTCCAAACGTGGACCAAAAGGGGACCCAGTCCTGTTTACTCTGCAGCAAGAACTGCTGCGCTGGCCACAAGAGTTGCACTGGCAACCCGTGGGGCTCCTCCGCTGGGAATCTCCTGGCCCGTAGGCAACTAAAATTCGTCTGAAAGTGTGGCATCCTCTCGTTCTCTGCGCTTTCACTGGGAGCTACAGTCCTGAGCTGCTAGTAATTAGCCATCTTGGATCTCTCTCCAAGAATGCTTTATTCTTTTATATTCATTTTGTTTGTTTCCTCTGACTGTGTATTTTCAAGTAGCTTGTCTTCAAGCTCACTAATTTCTTTTTCTGCTTGATGCATTCTGCTGTTAGGTTACTCCGATGCTTTCTTCAAAAATGTGAATTGCATTTTTCAACTCCAGAATTTCTGCTGCATTCTTTCAAATTTTTTCAATCTCTTTGTTAAATTCATTTGATAGAATCTAAATTTCTTCTCTTTGTTATCTTGGATTTTGTTGATCTTCCTCAAAACATCCAATTTGAAGGCTTTATCTGAAAGGTACTATATCTCTATCTCTCCAAGATTGGTTACTGGTTACTTATTTAGTTTCTTTGATGAGGTCATGTTTTCCTGGATAATCTTGATGCTTTTGGATGTTTGCCAGTGTCTGGACATTGAAGATCTGGGTATTTATTGCAGTTTCCTCAATCTGGGCTTTTTCGTAACTCTCCTCCTTGGGAAGGCTTTCCAGATATTCTAAAGGGACTTGGGTGTTGTGATCTACTTTGGTCAATGTAGCCACATCTGTTTTAGAGGACACCTCAAGCCCAGTAATGCGTGGTCATTGCAGACTCATAGAAGTACTGACTTTATGGTCTTGGATAATATACGGAAAAATTCCCTGTATTACTTAGCAGAGACTTGTTCTCTTTTTTTACTTTACCCCAGACAAAGTTTCTGTCTCTGTGCTGATCTGGAGCTGGGGGAGAAGTGTTACAAGTACGCTTGCAGACCCCAACACTGAAATTGCACTGAGTCATACCCAAAGACAGCACACTACTGGTTCTCACTCAAGGCCTACAGTGACCACTGCTTGGCTAGCACCTATGTTTACTCAAGGCCCAAGGACTTTACATCCAGCAGGTGGTAAATCCAGGCAAGCTTGTGTCCTTCCCTTCCAGGCAATGTGTTCTCCTTAGCCCCTGGTGGGTCTGGGGAATCCCCTCTGAGGTAGGGCCTGGAGTTAGGAATCTTAGGAATCTACCTAGTGCTCTACTTACTGGAGCTGAGCTGGCACCCAAGCCACAAGACAAAGTCCTCCTCATTCTTCCCTCCCCTTTCCTCAAGCAGAGAAGTCTCTCACTATGACCACCACCACCTTTACCTGAGGCAGGTATTGCCTGCAACTGGCAATGTTTACTCATGCCCAAGGGCTCTTCGATGTGCCCTTGGTGAATGCCACCAGGCCTGAGTTTCTCCCTTGAGGGCATTAGGCTCCCTCTGCCCCAGTACAAGTTCAAAAATGACATTTAGGAGCCAATAACTGGAACCAAGGACCCAGGAAGCCCACTTGAAGCTCTATGCCACTGTGGCCAACCCAGTACCTAAGCTACAAGACAAAGTCCCCTTTACTCTCTGTCTCCTTTTCTCAAGTGGAAGGGATCTCTCCCTATCACTACCACAGCTGGTAATGTACTGGGTCACACTTGAAGCCAGCATGGCTATGATGAGTCTCACTCAAATCTGTGGCAAGTACATCCTGGCTATCCCATTGCTGATTAGTCAGGCCCAAGATCTCTTTCTTCAGTCAGAAGATGATGAACAGGACTCTGCCTGGTGCCATATGCTACTGTGGCTGAACTGGTATCCAAGTTACAAACAAAACTCCTCTTTACTCTTCCCTCTCCTCTCCCTAAGCAGAGGAGAGTCTGTCCTAGAACTGCAAGCTGCACTGTAACACAGCACTCCCTTAGCTACTCCAGCTGGTATCTCCCTAGGTCACATGCACTCTGAGTCCACTGGTTCTGAGCCCAGCTCTATACCAGACTTATCTAAGAATTGCAATCCTGTGGCCTAGGCTACCTTTCAAGTTTATTTAGGATTCCAGAGCACTTCAACCTGTGGTGGCAGGACTTGCCACAACTCAGGTCTGACTACTAGACTGGACAATTTGCTTCTGGCTAGGGCTGGCCTAAATGCTCCCTCGATGGGCATCAGCTGAGCTCTGCCTCCTGTTGCTCTCCACTGTGACAGGACACCATTGAGTTTCAATGCAAGATTTCACATCCCTGCACTCTCCCTCTCCTAACCACACAAATTCTTTCTTTATGCCAAGTTGCTTTGCTGGGGTATAAAGGAGGGATAGTGCAGATGATTCAAGACCATCTTTCCTATCCTTTTCAGTGTTTCTTTCTTTAATATGAGTTAAAATAAGATACTGTGATCACTCCTCACTCACCTAAATTTTGGTTCTAATGTAGGTGTTTTTAGTGTGGATAATTTTTCGGTGTTCCTGCTGGGAGGACAATTGCTAGAGGCTTCTATTTGCCCACCATGCTTTGCCTCCCCTATCATTTTATTTTTAACTTTAATTCATTGATTGATTGAGCTGCATTTTATTTTTCAATGAACAGTGGACTCAATTTTTTTCATTTCCCCCCAAAAAAACTAATCGATCATTCTCAAACCAATATCACATATTAAATAAATTTTATGGAATTAACTGAATCATCTGTCTTATTTTCACTAATTTTATGTTAATATTACCAATGTATATTTGTAATATATATTTATATACAATGTATATTATATACCTATATATTTTATATATAAATGTAATATATAAAATGTATTATATATATATATATATATATATATATAGAAAGAGAGAGAGAGCAGGCATACGTGTTAGACACTGAAATCACTGGTGAATACAGATACTATCCTTTCCCTCAAGGAGTTTAAATTTTAATGAGATACAATTTTTCAAAGTAAACAGATAATAAATAAAAAACTGTACTATGTAATTTATAATAATAACTAACATTTATTGAACACTTACTATATACCTGACTCTGTTCCAAGGATCATCAATCTATTGCTTGTGGCAAAATCCAGTCAGCATTCTGTTTCACATAGACAATAAGCTAAAACTAAATCTACATTTTTAAGGGATTATGGGAAAAAGAAAAGAAAATGAAAGAAGGAATAATATGAGAGACAAATTATATGTGACTCACAAAGCCTGAAATATTAACTCTGTGGCCCATTAGAAAAGAAGTTTATTGACCCCTGCTTTAAGCCTTCTAAATGTACTCATTTAATTTTCACAATAAGCACTAAAGTGGTTAATATTATTACATAATGTGTAAGCTCTAATATTGTTCCAGATGAGAAAACTAAAGCACAAAGAGTTTCCTATATTTATCACAGAGGAAATAAACAGGCTACTGTACTTCTAACTAAGGATCAGGAATGAGGAGAGTTAAGGCAAAACAGAAGAGTTTCCTGAAGAAATAATTACTTTTTTTAAAATTTTAAATAGTTGCTTTATTAGAGTATCTTTTTTTTATTATTATACTGGGATACATGTGCAGAACGTGCAGGTTTGTTACATAGGTATACATGCGCCATGGTGCTTGCTGCACCCATCAACCCATCATCTACATTAGGTATTCCTCCTAATGCTATCCCTCCCCTTGCACTGCACCCCACAAGAGGTCCTGAGGTGTGATGTTCCCCTCTCTGTGCCCACATGTTCTCACTGTTCAACTCCCACTTGTGAGTGAGAGCATCAATGTTTGGTTTTCTGTTCTTGTGTTAGTTTGCTGAGAATGATGGTTTCCAGATTCATCCATGTCCCTGAAAAGCACATGAACTCATTCTTTTTTATGCCTGCATAGTATTCCATGGTGTATATATGCCACATTTTCTTTATCCAGTCTATCATTGATTGATGGGCATTTGGGTTGGTTCCAAGTCTTTGCTATTGTGAATACTGTTGCAATAAGCGTACATGTGCATATGTCTCTACAGTAGAATGATTTGTAATCCTTTGGATATATACCCAATAATGGGATTGCTGGGTCAAATGGTATTTCTCATTCTAGATCCTTGAGGAATCACCATACTGTCTTCCACAAGTATACTGTAATCAAAACAGTACAGTACTGGTACCAAAACAGATATATACCCCAATGGAAGAGAACAGAGGCTCATAAATAACACCACACATCTACAGCCATCTGATTTTTGACAAATGTGACAAAAACAAGCAATGGGGAAAGAATTACCTATTTAATAAACGGTGTTGGGAAAACTGGCTAGCCATATGCAGAAAACTGAAACTGGACCTTTTTCTTACAACTCACATAAAAATTAACTCAAGAAGTCTTAAAGATTTAAATGTAAGACCTAAAGCCATAAATACCCTAGAAGAAAGCCTAGGCAATTCAGGACACAGGCATGGCAAAGACTTCATGAGTAAAACACTAAAACCAAAGACAACAAAGCCAAAATTGACAAGTGGGACCTAATTAAACTAAGAAGCATCTGCACAGCAAAAAAACTATTGTCAGAGTGAACAGGCAACCTACAGACTGGAGAAAATTTTTGCAATCTATCCATCTGACAAAGCACTAATAATCAGAATCTACAAGGAATTTAAACAAATTTACAAGAGAAAAACCACTTCATCAAAAAGTGGGCAAAGGATATGAACAGATACTTTTCAAAAAAAGGTATCTATGCAGTTAACAAACATGAAAAAAAGCTCATCATCACTGGTTATTAGAGAAATGCAAATTAAAACTACAATGAGATACCATGTCACGCCAGTTAGAATGGCAATCATTAAAAAGTCAGGAAACAA